GCTTCCATTGTAGAGCGGGCAATACAAGTTTGCTTGGACGACTTCCAAGATACCGCTCCTCCACCAATAGTGAATACATATCCACTTGTGGACTTATAATCAGTTGAACCGATGATCCAATTTACATCACAATATCCCTCAATCACCGCAGGATATTTACTGTAGTGCAAAGCAAAGTCGTGGGTATGTTCTAAATATCCCAAAACTTATTTTTTTGCCATCCAATGAGATTGACCTGGATTGCTCGTGTATCGACTCAATTTGCTTATAGCACAAGCTATATCTGATCGTGTACAATTCATGATATACATTAAGTATCCCAACGCATGAGCATAATCCAATTGTAATATGCTTTGACCTTTGTTCTTTGTTAATGCGAGATTCACGTCAATTGGAGTCTTTGCAACTTTTAACCCTAAGTGCTTGAATTTTCCAAGTACTGTCTTAATATAATGAGACTCTGACAATGCCAGACCTTGAGGAGTCTTATTGATCTTAATCCCCAGAATTAAATCAGCAACTCCCAAGTCCTTCATATCAAACTTGCTAGTTAGCATACGCTTAGTCGCATTTATGTTGGCAATGTTATTACTCATTATCAGCATATCATCCACATATAAGCAAATAATGACTATGTGATTTAAAATATTTTTAATGTACACACATTTATCACATTCATTTATCTTAAAACCATTTGACAACATTGTTTGGTCAAATTTCGCATGCCATTATTTGGGTGCTTGTTTTAGTCCGTAAAGAGACTTAACAAGTCTACATACCTTCTTTTCTTTACCTGGAACCACAAACCCTTCTGGTTGTTCCATGTAGATTTCTTCCTCCAAATCTCCATTTAAGAAGGCCGTCTTAACATCCATTTGATGAATTTCAAAATCATAAACTGCGGCTAATGCTACTAACATTCGTATGGACGTCCATTTTGGGTTTTTAAACAGTTACATGCTACTTAATAATATTATACACACTATATGGTTGCACAATTTGTAATTTGAAAATTAGTTGTATTTTATGTAATTAACTCTTATAGATCTTGTATTTATGATACTTTCCCATGGAAAAATACTATGGTTTACACGTGTATTAAGAGCGAGAGTTGATAATTTTCATTTTAAAAAATAATGAAAATAATTATATGTAACTTATCATCATTAATGAGAATTAGTTTTTTTAAAAAGGCACACTACTTTATTTAGTTAGTTTACTAATTTATTTGTCCCGTGCTATCAAAAATTGGTCTCGAGAATAATAGCCTGTTTCATGCTTTTTTAAAATCAAAAGCACTTTCTTTTCGATAAAAGTATTTTTTTTTTAAAGTTGAAGTGTTTGACTAAGCTTTTAGAAGAAAAAAAAGTATTTTTGAGTAGAAGGAGGATCTTTGGAGAAGCAGAAAAAAATAGCTTCTCTCCAAAAATACTTTTTTGAAAAACACTTAGAAGTAATTTTTAAAAGTTTCGTCAAACACTAATTGCTGCTCAGAAATACTTTTCAAATTAATTAGCCAAACACAAACTGCTTCTCACCAAAAATACTTTTGAGAACAGCACTTTTTAAAAAAATACTTCTTGAAATGAAACAATAAAGAAGAATATTGCAAAGAAAGAGAGAGAGGATTCTTCTTGATTTGGGATGAATTACAATGGAATAGAACCCCTCTATTTATAGGAAAAAAGTGACTTAGCCACCAAGTAACAAACCCTAAAATCTCTCTAAAATATAGACATTCACCTTAAATATAATTCTATTTATAATACTCCCCCTGAATGTCTACTTAACAAATAATGTGGCTCGTTAAATTCTTAACTAAAATAAAATTCAGTGGGAAAAAAGTCTAGTGAAGGAAAACGAGTACACATGTTTAGAAATACGCCTTTTGGTTGCCTCGTTAAAAACCTTGTAAGGAAAACCCAGTGGGATAAAATCTTGTAAGGGAAAAAAGAGTACAACGTTTATTAACTCCCCCTGATGAGAGCATCAATTCACATCCTTGAGCCTTCGCATCTCAATCTTGTACACTAGCTTCTTGAAAGTTGACGTCGGTAGAGATTTGGTGAACAAATCAGCCATATTATCACTTGAACGAATCTGTTGCACATTGATATCACCATTATTTTGAAGATCATGTGTGAAAAATAACT